AGAGAAGCAATCTAGAACTAAGGAGAAACTTCCTGACAGTGAGAACAATTAACCAGTGGAACAACCTGCCTCCAGAAGCGGTGAATGCTCCAACACTGGAAGTTTTTAAGAAGAGACTGGACAGCCATTTGTCCGAAATGGTATAGGGTTTCCTGCCTGAGCAGGGGGTTGGACTAGATGACCTTCAAGGTCCCTTCCATCACTACTACTACTACTACTACTACTACTACTACTACTACTACTACTACTACTACTACTATTATTATTATTATTATTATTATTATTATTATTATTATTATTATATTAATTCACTAAGGCCAGAAGAATGAAGGCACCCCAGTCGAACAAACAGCATCAAAAGGAGCCAGAGTTTCAGACCTGGGAATCTTCAACCTTATCAAGTACTAAGGAAACATCAACTCATCCTATTTGTGTGGCTTCCAGTCGTATCAAAATTGCCAGAAGACCAAGATTTTATATTTTTATTACTACTGTATTGATAATCCATTTGGCCCAAGCTTTTAAGTTATAGTTCAAATTTTATATATATAATTTCTTTGCAATTACACATATCTTTTTTTTTCTTTTTGCTGCAGTTACATTATGCAATAACTTTTTAAAAAAGATTATACAGATGGAACATCAGATAATCCTATACAGATAGTCCTCAACTTACAACCATAATTGAGCCTGAAACTTATGTTCCTAAGCGATCGGGCCACCGGAGGGCCGCAGAAGCGTCCCCCGGCTTCGGTTCCATTCTCTGTTGCAGAGAACAGAGGCCTAAGGTACCATGAGACCACACGAGATCAGTAGCGTGATCTTGCGTTACTTTAGGCCTCCATTCTCTGCGAATGCACCGAAGGCATGGAGCAGCTGAGAAAGCAAAGGATCTCGATTTTCGCAGGGTGAGTATTAAAGGCCTGGTGCCTAGAGAGACCTAGGGGCAGGGGTGGGAAGGGAGGGAATAACCAGGCTTAATGTTGCAGTGCCACTGCGGTCACTTGTAAAGGCGAATGACTGCCGTGGTGCTGCAATATTCGTAATTTCGGGACTTGCTCATAAGCACTAGGGAGCACTCATCACGTAACTTTGAACGAGCGTTAAGTGAATGCTCATTAACTCGGGGATTACCTGTACATAGAATCTCTTCTAACCTAACCTTTTAAGCATTGGACATACAGTAGCTTCAAATTGATCAAGTGCTTTATTTTTCAAACAAGGAGAATGAAACTAGCTCAAGAAAGAAAACTGCCTCTGCGGCATAAAACTCCTTGCTAAAACAAAACAGTTTCCTTGAACAAGTCTATATCTTGGTATGGAAAAACATTTGAGTTGCAATTTCAATATAATAAAACTACAGTTTTTTAAATAATGTGACAAATATTTAACTTACCGTGGAGGGAAATTTTATATCAATATTAACATCACTGGTTTTAAAAGCAAATCTAGTTAGACAGGATCCATACATCCTCAACGAACACTCTAGAAATAAAGAAACAGTTTTGTAAGTGATCACTGTAGTTGTGATCACTGTTTCCCCCAAACTTTTGTATTATTACAGTTGTAATAAATACACAAATAGGACAGTATGTATAAAAGGCAAAAGGCTCAGATACTCCCCTTCCTTCTCTCTCTTTTTTTTTTAATATAGACAGGATGAATGAATTATAATTCAATTTTGGTTTGTCAGATTCCAGATTTTTATTGTTCTATGCAGACTGATAACCATGGTTTGACATAAAATTTGGAGATTTTTCCACTACTAAATGTGATTCTAAGACAGTCTTATATATGTATGTGTAAATCTGTACCAGCAAGAAGACATAAAATGGGTAAGGTCAGGACATAAAAAAAATTAAATGAATACATTATAAAATTAATGGCCTGAAAAATAAGGCACCTGATTTGTAAAATTATTTATTTCAATTTATATGGCCAACCATGTTAACATTTTGATTCTGGGCAGCTACAGTATAACAATAACCTCACTATAGATACAATATGTAACTAGCAGCCAAGATTAAAGAAAAAGTAACACTTAGTCAGCCAGAGGTTGAGATACAAATTTGGGTGTCATCAAGATACTAATGATATATTTATTACCTGGTGCCATGGAAGAACCTCACCCAACAGATTCATATTGATATTAAACAGGAGTAGGGGGAGTGATATGCCTTATGGGGCATAGGAGGCTAGATCTTATCTCCTATCAATACTAACTGGAACTGCCTCTCCCCAAAAGGAAGAAAATCAGAACATATTACAATCCATTTCCAATCCCCAAAGCCAACTCAGAAATGGTATTGAAAGCTACTGAGAGGCCAAGAAAAGCAAAGATGGATGCATCACCCCCACCCGTCCAACCAGAGGTCATCCACCACCACAATCAATGCTGTTTTATTTCCATGCTCAGGTTTGAATTCTGACTGAAAGGGGTGGTGGTGTTATGTATTCCATCACATAAACTGTTCTGTCACACATATTCACACAATACAGTTACAGAAAGAAACACAGAATGCAGAGGTCCCAGATAAGCATGTTTAGAACTTCTAGTTTTGCTCAGTCACAGAACTGGACTGATTTTATTTTGTTGCTCTATACATGAAGATGAAAATTTTCTAAAATAGCCAATTTATCCATACAAACTCTAAACCAATTGAGGATTCTCACTTTTCAAAGTTGCCATTCATATGCAGAGCTTCTGTCTTTGAAGCAACAACAGTTCTTTCTTGTGTTTCACCCATTTACTTTCATATTTGCACCACTTCAACATCTTCTATTATTATATTTTTAGCAAATGTACAAAGATATTTTCCCATGCCCTATTTTCTTTTCATGTAAATAGAGCAAAATACAATTAGAATGAAAATATTTGTCTATTGCTTCTTTAGGAAAGACTGTGCTTCAGTACTTGGAAAAGAAACCCAATGCACACAATAAACTGTCATTTTATAAGATTACTATTATTAAGCACAAACAACAGAATTTATAACTGTTTAATTTTATTTTTTTTAGAGGCCATGTAATAATCAATGCCCTGTTGATATTGTTTTCTATTACAGGTAGTCCTCGATTTACAACAGTTCATTTAGTGACTGTTCAAAGTTACAATGGTACTGAAAAAAGTGATGTATGACCAGTTTTCACCCTTATGACCACTGCAGCATCCCCATGGTCACATGATCAATATTCAGATGCTTAGCAACTAACTCATATTTATGGCAGTTGCATTCTCCCAGTGTCATCTTTTGAACCTTCTGACAAGCAAAGTCAATGGGAAAGCAAGATTCACTAACAACCATGTTACTAACTTAATAATTGCAGTGATTCACTTGACAACTGTGGAAAGAAAGGTCGTAAAATGGGACAAAACTCATTTAACAAGTTTCATTTAACAGAAATTTTAGGCTCAATTGTGGTCATAAGTCGAGGACTACCTGTATAAGCAATTATGTTAGTTTTGCCATTCTAATTCCAAAATAAACTACTAGGTGGCAGCATTTAGCTGACCACACTAATCTGAAAAAGTATAAGCACAACTGGACCCGGTTAACATTTAAATGAGAGATGCCAGGAAGTTACCTGGTAAGGACTGCTGAATAATCTTTTCCATATCATATACAATTTCTTGGCGGACTTTGAAATCATCATCGGATATTCCTTTTTCTTTTGCTGCCTCCATCAGCATAAAATTCAAAGCAGCAACTTGTGCAGGGGAAGGAGAAGGGAGGGCACGGAGCTCATCTTCTTCTTGCTTTTCCTAATGAAAAACATAAAGATAAAAAATAATGCTTTGAACTCTTAACAGAATAATCCTCCAAATACCAGTTTAATTATTCAAAAACCTATTAGAGCAAGAGTTAAAAGCAATCTATTAGACCCTTAAGAGTAAGAAAAGCAAAGGGGAACAGGTTGGTATTTGTTCCTTATAGCCACTGAATAAAATACGAGACAGGGAAAAAACTGTTAACACAAGCCATCCACAGAAGTCTCAAAGCCTGTAGCCAGTCCTGAAGTAGTTTGAAATAGTCAGTTAATCTGCTCTCTCAGTTGCCTGCAGTTGAGAAAACACTACTTACTCAATCACTACCTCATATAATCATGGAAAGTTATATTGCCCATCTTAAGATCCATCTTTAACCAAGGAAACATTTTCGCCTCCCTTCCCTCTGAGGGGCATTTATGAGAATAACTCTGGTGTTTATCAAAAGCTCTGGACCAGAAATTATAAACAAAACAAGGATCCAGAGGATATGTGATGAAAAATAATCTTTAAAGCAGCCTGCCCACTTCCTCAGCTATTATGAAAATGATCCACTCTAATGATACAATTGTAAAAGGTAATCTCAGCATTGCACTCTGAACATGCTGCACAAGAGATTTTTATCTGCAAAAAAACAACAACAAACAAACACTGAAAGTTTTGCCACCAGCCTTGAGAGTTCTGATTAAAACTAGGAGAGGAGGTAGGGCTGTCAGTCGCTTCAAAATCCAAAACAATTCATAGGTTGGAAGCTTCTCAATGCAGTATATACAGAAAAATTGTTTCTTTGGTACATGTATAACCTACAAATAAACTTTCAAATGGACTTTATGCTATGTTTTATGAGATTTAAATCAGGTCCTCTCCTCCACCTGCACTCCACCCATCTACCTTGTTGTTTCAACCCCCACACTTCATCTGGGTTTACTATAAGGTCAAAGCAGGTAAACTATTTTTGGCAAACTGTGTCAACCACTCCTACAGTTTCCTAACCCAAGAAACAACAGGGGCATTAATAGAAGCATTGGTAAAAGAAGCTCCATGACCTTTTGGAATCCAACTAAATCGAATTGGATCAAAAAAATCTTTTGGGGTAGACTACCTGTATAGACAGCATATAGCTACATAGTCAACCTTAACAACATGATTAAGGTTGAATAAATCTGACTTATTCTCACCCACAGAACGAACTAATCATAATAAAATAACAAATTGAGTTTATGCCCTGTGACCAACTGGAATAGGCCCATGGTTGTCAGGGCTGCTATGAAACCACTCTAGACAAAACAGCCCCAAAGAGACATTGAAATCCCCCAACACCATAACCCTAAGAATCTCCAATATCAATTCTGAGACCAGCACAACTTAGGCAGAGATTCCATTAGGTAGCAGGTTATATATAATAACAAAATCTCTAATCTATTACTATTCACATGTCTGTGAGTCAGTTCTTTCACAAATACCATAACCTTAGGGACCATACCTGCACCGCTGTCCTCTGGCTTACAAGTACAAAATGCCTACACTAAAAAAACAGGGCCCATACTAGCCCAATGACTTTCTCTGCCATTTTTGTTACACGCCAAGTAGCTCAATAACAGTTGGATCTTTTTTCGGCATCAACAAAGTTCTTATGAATATAGCCCTGTACCTATTCATCTTGGTTGCTCTCAACCAATGTTTAAAAACTGTATCGTTCATTTTAAACCAAGACGGAACTTCTGAGCAAAATTTCAAAACTTAATTCTAGCACTTACCATGATATTCTTTTTATGGCGTTTTTCTTTAATATGTTTATGAGCTCCCTGGATATTTTCAATGTGAACTAAACACAGCTTACACAGATACTGGCAATTAGAGTACTCTGGAGAGCGCTGTGGAAAAACCACATATTTTAAGATTCAGCAGCCACTTAATTATGCTGGTTCCCCCCCCCCATCGTAACAATAAAGTGCTTCTAAGTACATTTACCACAGAAGAGTACAGTGCACAAAGGCTGACCCAACTCACCATACAGGGATACCCATTTACAGTGTGGACTGGGTGTGCAAGGCCATGAGAAGATATGTGAGAGATGTGACATGGGTCGAGGAGAATGCATGTGGGAGCAAAGGGTTGTGCAAGAGGTGCAGCGTGGGTAAGGTGCATGAGTGACCAGTGCAGCACAGGAACTAGGGAAGGCTATGCGGGGGGGGGGGAGGGGGTGTCACTTATTTCAGCAATTTGGGACCTTCCTGCTAGCTTCCCCACTGACATTCTGGGGAAGCTGGCAAGGAAGGCTGCAAATGGCTATCACATGATAGCTGAGCAGTGCACCAGATCATAAGTATGAATTGGTTGCCAAGCACCCAGATCGCAATCACTTGACTGCAAAAGTGCCGGGACAGATGAAACTCCGAGGATGGATTGTAAGATTCATTGGTTCAGTGCCACAATAATTCTGAACAGTTGTTGAATAAATGATCGTAGGTGGAGGACTACCTGTAATACATTTCATCCTAAAGTAGACTAATTGTTTCAGTTTATAAACAAAAGAATATTTATGCTTATCGACATGAAAAATCTAAGATCAAACATACATGTAAAACAAGGAGACTATGAAAAACTCTTTTTTTCTACAGTAAGCATTGCTAATCAGGATTTGTTCCTGGAGCATGTGATAGTCATGGGAAAACACTAAAAAAAATCTGTGCATGTTGATTTCCAATATATTTGAAACCTGAGATGCAAAAGCCTAAATACTATATTCAATGTTTCCTGATATGTGCCAAAGCAAAACTATACATAAAGTGTAATTATGCACATATGTTATTGGCTTATCATCAACTATGAATAGGTTTCTTTCAGTGTTTACTACAAACCAAGAAATGTATATAATTCCTTCTAATTAACTGAAAAATTATCTATTGTCATCTAATATAGAAATATGAAAGGCAATTCAGAAAAGTATGTTTCCTGCCATGCTAAAAAGGAATCCAGATTTCTTCTAATCCAAAATTAGAAGAATTTTTTAATTTAGGTAAACTTCTTCATACTATAACATTTAAAGACAAATCCTTTAATTTAAATTCTTCTTTTAAGCTAGATATACAGTCCAGCGCACACTCACTGTGTGTTTAATTTAAGACATGAATGAAAAAGGTTCGCCGATTATATTAGAGAAAGGTCAGCGAGAAGACGAACAAAGTTCGGATTGACGAGAAGACGGTAGTCACAACTAAGTAGGTACTGTCGTTGTAAAAGATTTATTAGTCAAAGACTGAACGAAAGAAATCGTCTCAGTCTTAAAAAATAAAATGGAACATCTTGGATGAAAAGAATGTTTAATACATTTTTCACAGACTACCATAAATCTAATTTAAGAAACCATGAAATGTACATATATCCTTTTTTTTTAAAAAAAATGTGGAAACTAAGTTTGGAAATGCCATAATTAAAATTTAAAATTTAGATACAAAATTTTATTGGATGATTCTCAGCATTATTTACATGTATCAAATATAAGACAGTTGTAAAGATTACTGAGACTTTCTTTATGAATGTCTTGAGAAATTAGAGAAAACATATTACACAACCATCATTCAGATGACGTTATGATGGTAATTTTTATACACGTGAGATAGTACAAACAATATGCAAAATCTTTTTTGAGTTACATTCACAAATAACTTACAAACAAAATTTCTTTTTATTGTACAGATGAAAAAATTAAGATACTTAACGAGCAGTTGCTTGAGCACATTACACCCACACCCACACACAGTCCTCTTAAAAACTGCCTTGTTTAGCAACTGTTTGCTATTACGATGGTTATGAAAAAATAACCCTATAACTAATCCTTGCATTTATTACAAAGGAAAATTGAAGTAAGATCATAACCACAGTAGCAGTTTCACTTAGCAACCACTTCTCAAAATGACCGAGTTGCCGGTCCCAATCGGAGTCACTAAACAAGTGTATATAGCAATAGCAATAGCACTTAGACTTATATACTGCTCCATAGTGCTTTACAGCACTCTCTTGAGTGGTTTACAAATGTCAGCACAACGTCTCCAACAATCTGAGTCTTCATTTTTCTGATCCCAAAAGGATAGAAGGCTGAGTCAACTTTGAGCCGGTCAAAATCAAACTCTTGGCTGTGGGCAGAGTTAATCTGCAATATTGCATTCTAACCATTGCATCACCACAGCTCCTTTGGTATATACCAAATCCATGGCTGCTATGGTGCACAGAAGCAGCTATCTTTTTCTCAATTAGAGTAATATGATAGATAGTCCTCAAGATACAACCACAACGGAACCTGCCAACAACACTCACATTTCACAATGGTCGTTAGGTGAAGCATATCATCTAATGCCTCCCCCATCCCTGCTCTCTCCAGTGAATTGTTAAAGCAATGCCCAGTTCACTAAATGGAGAATGGGGTACCCCAGGGTAGGAGAGGCCCTTGGAGGCATAGCACAGACCAAGGCCTGCGTATTCTGGCCCTTTCAAGCCTCCCCCACCCTCCTAAGATGCCTTTGCTCCACTTCCTGTCTCTTGTGTCCACAGGCCTTTTCCCACTCCCACCAGGTCTCCCGAGGTCTTAGGTCTGATTTCCATCCCACCGTACCAAACAACCTCCTCCTTGCCTTTGAAGAGCTATAAGACTTTCCAGAGCACTGGAACTGATTGCTTCTTTGTGCAGCCAAATGGCACAGTTCCAGAAGCGGCCTAACTACAAAATGGCAACCATGTTCGGGTCACTGCCATGTGGCCCAGAGACAAAATGCTTTGTTTGCTGCCTTAACGAGATATGCACAATGCTGCAGCATTCAGAAGCTCCTGCAGCGCTATACAGATTTCATTAAGGCAGCAAAATGAAGAAGTTTGTTTTCTGGCTGCCTCGCAGAGACAGAAACACAGCCACCATTTTGTCCCGCCCACTTCTGCATGCTCGACGGCATGCTGAAAACATCTGTAGCATTTTGCCGATTCTTCATGAAGAAGGGAGAAGGTTTTATTATACGAATGAACTTTCACTCATATAAAATTGGATCCCATTCTAAAAGGGTCATTCTTCACTTAGCTTATAGAAGGTAACTGCATTTAAATTATGGCTCTATAGCTTTCTGAAAACTCCTTTCAAGCAGGAAAGCAACATAGCATGAAGAAAAAAACTCAAGGTAAAAACTGCAAAATTAGTGGTGCTTAAATTAAGAAATGATCATAGTACATTTTATGTCGAAAAATGCCATTTTCAACTAGAATTACAATGATTTCTATAAAGTCCTACAGAAAAGCACTTTTTGCTTTGAACTTTCTTAGTTTACATAAAAAAGAAATCAATCTGTTCCACTTAATAACATATACATAAGTAACACAAGGAAAAGCTTTAATTTCTGACAGGATTTAAAAAAAAAACACTTGAATGCACTTACAGTAATCTTCAGATGTTTGTTCTACTGATCTTAAATCCAAATCACTTTTCTCTGAGTCATTACACCAATTAGCATTAATTGTTGAGGTATCCTCTCTTAGTGGATTTGCCAATTCAGGACTTCCCCTCTGGGTAGTTGGTAAGATGTCTGTGCTGGCACCATTCTCTAAAATATGAGAAGTTGGAAGGTTTTCGTGTGCATGCAGAACTTTTAACGCTTTCTGATTTTCTACTGCTGTTGATCCATTTGGTAATCTTTTTCCTTTGCTATGATTCTGATCCTGAAGACCTGATCCCATGTCTTTAAATCCAGGAATGCAACTATTTGTCTTACGTGATTTATTTTCTCCTGACTTTTCAGGACAAACATCATTTTGCTTAATCTTTTTGAAACTGTTACCACTTGTAGAACTTTTCCCAACTTCTTTTATAGACTTGTCATTTCTGTTGGTTTTATAATTTTGATTGGTTACAGCTCTGGCAGCCTTGCTTTCTTCACACACAATACGGGTGGATTTTCTTATGTCATGATTTCCAGATTTTGGACTCTTGCCGTCTTCCATTATTAAGAAGACCTGCTTTTTCTATCACTTGAGAAGATCTGAAATGAAATTTTGCAACAATTTGGATGGAGCAAAATCCTCTGTTCAAGCAGTGTATCTGGATGATTGTCTGGAAAAAACAAACATGTAAAAATATTACCACAAAATATAAAGCAATATTCCTCAGTCTAGTGTCCTGGACTAGGTACAGACATATGAAACAGATGGGAGTAGCTTTTAAAGCAACCATGTAAGCCTGGGAAAAATGAGGCTGCTTTATCAATTTTAAGAAATGCTTCATAAGCTCTATGTGCATCAAAGCATGTCTAATTGAAAGACTTTGTGCAGGTCTATGTTATACTTCATTCAGCCAAAATTAGTTTTTATTACTATAAAAAATCAGATTTTTAACCAAGATTAGATATAAATTAGTGCAAGATGCTAAAGAAAGAGGAGGTTGGGTTTACCACATTTGAAATTGTACTTTGATGCTTATTGTTTGGTCTGGTTTAAAGAGAAGGTGACTCTCCAAAACAAGAGGCTACTTGAACTGGAGGGTCATAAATTAGATTTGGATGGCAGGCCTACTTATGGTATGATAAGGTTAACCATAAATATTGATTTCAACAACAAGTTTGTTAGATGTGTCTTCCTAGGGGGTTTGGAATAAATATAAAGTTCTCAAAAAAATGCCTCTTTGGGTTGTCACCGCAGGAAGCTTTATTTAGGAAAGAAATAGTGATGCGGCCAGATTGGCGGACAATACTTATGGTGAATTACCCCCCAAAACAAAGATGAGTTGGAATTTGAAGGACATGTCTGTCACTGGTTTACATATTTACAACTGAAAGAAAGGTTTAAGTCAGATAATAAAATTTATGGATTTGTCTTTGCAAAAAATGAACTGGAAACTACATTGTGCGGTAATGATGAACACACTACTGCTAAGTTTTATAAATTGGTATTAAAATTGAATTTGGAGAATGAGTATGTGAAGCATTATATGATCCAATGGGCAAAGAACTTTGTTATAATGACTGAACATGTGAGGAAATATATATGGATGAAGGGTTTAAATTTTACATTAAATTATATTTTAAAAGAAAATGTTATAAAATGATGTACTGTCAATATCTAACTCTAGGTAAATTGTCAAAAATGTATAAAGGTACTTCAAAAGTATGTGGGAATATAAATGTAAAGAAAGATTTTTTTTACCATCAGTGGTGGACCTATGACAAAGTAAACAAATATTGGAATAAAAAAAGTATATAATTGTGACAAAAGTGACAACTCCCACTTTGTCTGGACAAGGATAACATTTTTCAAAAAAGTAGTGATTGCCTTCTAAATTTCTTAAATGAGTTCTAATATAAAATGATTTTGTTCAAAATTAGATATGCTACCATCTTCAAATACAGGATAATGTTCCTTGGGCACTAAAAGACTAAAGAAGGATAGTGAAATACAAAGCTTTCTTCTACTTTATTCAGAAGATCTGTTTACAAAACCACTATTTTTTTCAAATGTTATTATAAATGAATACTACTATAACCAAATTGCACAATCATAATGTTGTCAATCTAGGGAAAATGTTACTTTTTAGATAACTATCTTAATATGCATGTGTTTATGTTCACAACTTTTCAAGCATGTTAAATTAATATATATACACAATTTGCAGTATCCTCAGTTTTTGTTAAGATATGAATTAAATAAGAAAAGGGCATGTTAGTGATTTGTAATATCTGAAAGAAAGATATTCAATATAAATATTTTTCAAGTGTTATATCACTTGTACAAATATAGTAAGTATATTAATTAATTTCTTTCTACCAATTATTTTATTTCAGATCCTTTGGTTAGAAAAATTTCTGGCATTTACATAGCCAAAATTAATATACATAAAATTAACATAACTTTTATAGATTTGTTTGTTAAATTGGGTAATGAAAACTCTTAATTCAGAAGCTTCTTAATTTAAATCAGAACATTTTTCTAATTCAATATTTTGCAGACTATTATTGGATAAACAAGCAAATTAGTAAAAATAAGTAAATGAAATCATATAGTTTTAGATTTAACATAAATAATAATGGTTTTAAATACTTTGCTTTTAAGATTAAGAATATTTTTAAGAGTCATATTTGTATAAATCAGTAGCAATAATCTGATTACCTAAATATTAATTCCTAAATACAGTTTATTTATTTCTTTAACAAATTTCTAAATCAAGCATCTCACCTAAATGAATTTGGGCAGTTTACAATAAAAAATACAGCAGTATAAAACCTACTTAAAAACAGATAAAAATAGAATTTAAACAAAGTTAAAATAAAGATATTAAAAAGTTAAGGGGGGGCACCCTCAAGTCACCTACCACCCCCAAGGTTTCATAGCACTCCTAGATCCTAAAAATTACCAAAAAAAAATATATCCAGAAAACTTGGATCATTTTACCTGCAATGAACCACACCAGACAGGTAGAAAGGAAAACATTTATTTGCAAGTAAAGGAGTTACCCAAAAGCAAGTTCCAAGTGGGCACACCTCTACTTGTATTGGACCCCTTTTATACAATTTTGAAAAGCATATATTGCCATGAACCAATCATGGAAGCACACATTGTAAACCAATCATTAAGAGAAACATCCTGCATAGATCTTCAAGGGGTCTTAGTAATACAGATCAGCTAAAGGTTACAAGATAGACTAAGACCTTTATCTTATCAATAACATTCCTCCTTACTAAGCAACTTGGTATCAGTGTCTTGCTCATCACCTTTATAGTCAGGCATTCCTGAGCAGGAGACAGATGGTCTGTTCAAATTGGTCTCATTTCTGCTTAACAAAGCAATTCAGCCAATGGCTAACTACCCCAAGCAATGCAAAGCACCATCCCCCAAAGCTATTACTATATATTAAATAATAATGTATGAAATCCTAAACAATACTGTAATACATGAATAACAAATAGTTTATCAATACTGTACATAAATACAATTGGGTTAAGGCTAAATGAATTGAGCTATTTATCACTGCTACTGGAATAAGATGTAAATGATTGTCCAATTGATAATTAACTGTTCAAAATAAGGTGCAAAATGATTCAGATTTCATGAAGAAATTCAAAGAGTGAAAGATAACAAAGAGAGACCAAACTAGAAATGAAAACAGCCATATTAGACCTATTTAAAGATGTTAACTGTAAATGCCCTTGTTTTATATTGATTTATTTAAATTGATCTTCTGCTGTTGTTTTAAGAATTTTTGTATTTTGTTCTGGAAACCAATAATATTAAAAGGATGATAGTATCCTCATCTATATACGGTAACATGAAGAAACTGTTTTATTTTGTTTAATATCCAAAGATACACTATATTATAATAGACAAGTTTTACCAATCCAATACTACTACTTAATCAACTAGTAAATTCAGTTACTGAGACAGATCTTAGCATATTTTTTAACATGGAGCAACTATTTTCTGAAAATTAAAGACCATGTAAGATGCAGTGGTATAAACATATTATACAAATTGTTTCAGAATAACCTATACAAGAGGATTTGGAGAAAGTATATTAAATTTATCACTTAAAAAACACAGTTTGTAAAGGGGTTGAAATGACTTCTCCATTTTTTGGGGAAAAACAGTACTTGTAGGAAAAAATGCAACTCAAATTGGCATACTAAGATTTCTTGCTGTAAGTGGACAATCATGCATATTATCACATAGTTAACCTGATTTTGCTTTTTAAATTCCTTTAATCTTTGGAATTATAAAAATGCCATGAGCTTATTGCAAAAAAAATTAATATCCTGAAATTGGGAAATAGCTTTAGAAATACTTTTTATGCAAGGAATAATAAAGTTACATTTGCTACTATGAGATGTGATGTCTACTAATTTTAGTTTTAAGATAGAATATAGGACTATCAATAACTAGTTTAATGTCTGACTCATAGGCAATATATTTTAAATAATAGCAGCTAGGAAAAACTGAGTTGGGAGGCTATTACCTTTCCATATATGCATCTGAACTTCTTGAATACATTTGGTTAACTATTATGTGACACACAACGCTATACAGTATTTTAGCCTGATCCAATAGATTTCTTAAATTCTTACTATCAGAGTTGTCTGTATTAGGGTTTTGTATACATGTTACACAGCATGTACTACTTACTGCATGCCTTAATATAGCCAAATAATATCACACAAAGAGGATATAATCAATTTTGTATTTTGTTCCTACTTGTGTATTTTAGTAAAAAAAAAAAATACCCGCCAATTTACTTGCTGTCAAAAATGCAGTTATACATTTCAAAAAGATTTGTTCTGTTACAGTAATATGATATCCTTATTTTAGCAAATGACCTACGCTTAAATTATTACTGGTTTTTTTCTATCACTGAAGTGCTCATGTATGCTCCTATAAAGTGTATACATTAGAGGAATACTGTCCGAAAAATTCAGATCCGTTCAACCTAGGCACTTTTTTTCCTAGTTCTGTGTTGGGCTATCCCTTAAGAAAAAAAAAACTCATGAGAATACTGACTCAGAAAGTGTTGACACAAACTCTGCAATTTTAAAAATGTTCTGCATATATTTATACGGTTAAAGAATATTACAGTGAATTAACATTAAGCAGGAGCACAAAGTAAAAGCATGCCCATGTAACATTTTGTTTTTTGTTTTTTAAAAAAATGGCTTGACTGCGAAATTGGCCATTGCCATTTCACCTGATGCAGTGAAAACAAATACATGCACAAACTGTACTATATTCAGAGTCACGACTCCTTACCTAGTGTTTTTGTGGTGTACAAAGCAGGCATGAGGTAAATTTGTAACATTTGGTGAAGTGGGATGCCTCAGTTTTCCTGTTTGCAAAATGCAGATAATTAGCCTTTTAACTGGTTGAAGACAGGAAAACTTTTTTATTACGAGAATATTTAAAGATATTACGAGAATATTTAAAGCAGTGGTTCTCAACCTTTTTAATGCCCTGACCCCAACCGGTCGTAAGTCGAGGACT